AGTTTTATTAAAAGCAACAATGGTTTTTGATCCAGGAAGGTTTTTCAATTGACCACATTCGTTTTGCAGATGTTCTTTTAAATTCACGACCGTGATGATGAGCAGAAATTCCAAATAGTAAACCCATCTAATAATTTTTCATGTAATACTACTAATTTAGTCAATTAATAAAGTTGCGTGTGTGTGTGTGTGTGTGTGTGTTGGGGGAGGGGGGCAGTATTGCTTGTTACGTTCTGAAACATCCTGCAATGAAAGATTACTACTTCCCAAATTGTAGTTTTTAAATGACTGCAGTTTGTCTTCTAACCCCAGAAGAAAGAAAAATATAAATAAAAAAAAACGCAACAATTTTTTTAAGCAAACAAAACGACATGTTAATAAGAAGATTGTAATAATAAGAAGATTGTAATATGAATTTATGTCATTCCAAAAATAAAAAATAAAAAGCAAGCAAGAAGAAGAAAATGGTGTAAGTGGTGGAAATGAACTCCGTTATTGTTTCCCAACATTGTGATCTTGAGCTGGGGTTCAGAATAAAATGAAAAGTGTGAGAAACGTGCGGTGGATGTAGCACTACAACAGCACAATACAGCCATTCATTGCTGCATTCAAGTGCAACATCCTTCCTATTGTTTTTTTCACACCACAATCTATTTTTTTCTGAATGAAGGACAGAGCTGAGTGAAACACCTGCAGGAGCAGCAGCAGGGACAGAGATGAATGAATGAGTGGGAACGCATGTGTTCACGCAGGTGCCACACAAACACAGGGACTGGGAGAAAACAATCTGATTGAAAGGCGACTTTTACCTCTTTTTCAACATCCGCTGGTCACAAATCTGTTTCAAAGCACTACACGTATCAATAATATTACTACCATTATGCTCTAGTACTGTTATATTACTATACAAGTTAATTAGACTCAGAGAAGTACAACAAAAAGAACAAAAGAGAATTTTATTTTTTTATTATTTATTTTTAATTTTTGTGTTTCTGCCACAGTTTGTTTTCTTAATGTTGTCTGTTGTATATTTTGTATTTGACTGTTTTAGATTTGCTTTGTATATCAGTTTATTTATGCATTTTTAAATTTCTGCCAAGGCTTACAATTTGATTTATTTATTGTCCATTTGTTTTGTTTTTCATTATGTACCTGCTCATCCTTGCATTTGATTTCTTTTTTATCCTCAGTTTTTGTTGTTCCTCAAACCTGTCGTCCATCTTTTATTAGTTTACCTGCCAGCATCCAGCATATAACATCTCTCTTGGTTTCACTCAATTTTTGTTAAATTTAACAACAAAAGTTCCTGCAATTCATGTCCCGTTTCAATTCTGAGTCAGTCACCTATTTTTGTCTCACAATACACGTTTAGTTTTGTTCTTAATTAATGGATCACTTTGGATTACTGTTCAACGGCCCACTTCAGCCACCAAACATTACAAATTCTACTTGAGCATCTATTTTGGCACTCTATTTGATGCTACTAACATTAACTTTTGTACCTTAAATGTATTTTTGGTGGTGGTGGTAGTGGTGGTAGTAGTGGTAGTGGTGGTGGTAGTGGTGGTGGTGGTAGTAGTGGTGTTGGTGGTGGTAGTGGTGGTGGTAGTAGTGG